GCGGCGGGGGCACACAAAGCGGGGGATCACCTCCAAGCCGTACATCACGTACTGGCCCAGAAGGAAGCCCGCTTCGGCCACCGTGCGCAGGACGAGCTGCAGCGCGTAGGCCCACATGAGGCCGTCGGCCCTGATAGCGCGACGCCCGTCGTGCCGTCTGTAGTCGTTCTTCTTGGCCTCGTCGGGAAACTCCCCTCCTTGATCGCCAGGCGAGCTCTCTGACCTGCGGATAACGACGCGGGAGTAAAAGTTAAACATCTCCTTCTCGCAAGAACAAAGAGCGGAATGAAGGTTTTTTTGGGGGACTTCGCCGTTCTTATCACGGTTATCGTCGTCGCCGTAACTTCACTAGGCCTAGTAGTAGGTTTTTACCCTTTCAACTGGTACAAAAACTGACACCTTTATACAAGGCATCATGTTTGCAATAACCACAACACAAGCAGTCAAAATGCAAACAAAAAGAAACAACTCTGATAATGATAATAATATGCACTGTCCTTGAAGTTGATTGGTCCAAACCCAAGACGGCTTTCTTTAGAGCCTAGTCTCCATTGGTGTTGGACCAGATGACACCAAAAGGCGCACAACTCAAAATGATGCCTTGTATAAAGGTGTCAGTTTTGTACCAGTTTAAAGGGTAAAAACCTACTACTATATTTTGCCACTGGTAAAGGAGATGTCTCATAGTGTAACTTCACTAGACCTCTGTATCCTGTGTATGGCGAAGGCGAGGTAGAGAATGCTGGGTGTCGCCACGGTGATAATCTGAAAGATCCAGAAGCGCACGTAGGACAGGGGAGCAAAGGTGTCGTAGCACATGTTCGTGCAGCCCGGCTGTTGGGAGTTGCACATGAACGAGCTCTGTTCATCGTGATAGATGGATTCGCCCGCCACGATCGTCAGCATGATGCGCAAGATCAGGAACGTGGTTAGCCAGAGCTTGCCCAGGTACGTCGAGTGCAAAGATATCTCCTCCAACAAACGGGTCAGGAAGTTCCAGCTCATTGTGACCACCAGCTCGCCAGAAGCGTGCCCACCTGAGGATTCAAGAAGAGAGACGCGGATTCAGACGGCACGTTGGCTGGCCGCGCGCCGCGTTCAGCTCTTTTGCTGCCTCGGGATACCGTCGATCATCATTGATTATCCGGCACGGCACGATAATCATCCGACATTATCCAGCGGTCCTGAGACGATCTACCGAAACTGGCAAAGCCGCTCCAAAGGCCGTAGCAAACCAGTCCCGGCGGTCGGTCCCATCGTGCAGCGTGACAACAACAAAGTAGCCACAGTAGTAGTAGGTTGTTACCCTTTCAACTGGTACAAAAACTGACACCTTTATACAAGGGATCATGTTTGCAATAACCACAACACAAGCAGTGAAAATGCTAATTATTTTTGTTTTCAGAGGGAAATTGAGTTTTCAGGTGCATACGGCGGACAGCCGTTTGGATACGAGCAGCAACAATTGTTTTGTGTCTTTGATTGTTTCTCCCTTGTGATGGGACTTTGCAGGACGAAAGTTGAGATTCACAAGGGCACGGGGTGACCATTAAGGTCTGACTTGGTCTGTAATAAGGGGTTGACAGCTATAACTATATGTAAGTGGAATGCTCAAGTGGTGGTAATCCAAGGAGACCCACACAAGGCACAGAGAATGTTTAGACTGCAGCAGGAGGATTCCGATGAGCTAGAAAGATCTTGAACCCACAGATGTCCAGTCGGGGGCATGTGGTAAGAGCGTAACAACAACACACTCCACACAGTTTAACACGTAGCAGGCTTTCGCGACCAATTTTATTCATAATCAACATTTTGGGATTAGATCGCGTTATTTATGTGTCGTAACCCTCCACCACCCGACACGGCCAATCAGCAAAAAAGTGTCACGTTGACAAAAGACAAAATAGTTCACTACTTTAGCCCCACACCGGTGTGTTGAAGCGTGAAACCACAACATTTACAAATATTTTTTTATTTAAGACCGGGAGCCAGAGCAGAGCCTCACCATTCTGGCGAATTGCCCGATGATGCTGGATGCAGTTACCAGCGAAACGTCACAGTACTCAACAATTGTAAATGTTGTGGTATAGTGTATAGTAGTGTAGTATATATAAGTGTATAGTGTAGTGTATAGTAATGTACTGTATAGTATAGGGTAGTATATAGTCGTGTATTGGATAGTAGTGTAAAGTGTATAGTGTAGTGTATAGTAGTGTATATTACTATAGTGAATATAGCAGTGTATAGTGTAGTGTATAGCAGTGGAGTGTATAGTGTATTGTATAGTGTAGTATATAGTAGTGTAGTGGATAGTAGTGTAAAGTGTATAGTGTAGTGAAAAGCAGTGGAGTGTATAGTAGTGTATTGTATAGTATAGTGTATAGTAGTGTAGTAAATATAAGTGTTTAGAGTAGTGTATAGTAGTGTAAAGTGTATATTACTATAGTGTAGTATATAGTAGTGTAGTGGATACCAGTGTAGTGTATAGTAGCGTACTGTATAGTACAGTGTAGTATATATGTGTATAGTGTAGAATATTGAAATGTATAGTGTATTGTATAGTGGAGTGTATAGTAGTGTAGTGTAGTATATATAAGTGTATAGTAGTGTAGTGTATAGTAGTGTATTGTATAGCTTTGTAGTGTATAGTATAGTGTATTGTATAGTAGTGTACTGTATAGTATAGTAGATATAAGTGTTTAGTGTAGTATATAGTAGTGGAGTGTATAGTAGTGTAGTGTACATTACTATAGTGTATAGCAGTGTATAGTAGTGTATACCAATGTAGTGTATTGTATCGTGCAGTGTATAGTAGTGTACTGTATAGTACAGTGTAGTATATATGTGTATAGTGTAGTATATAGAAGTGTATTGTATAGTAGAGTGTCCAGTAGTATAGCATATAGTTGTGTATAGTGTAGTACGTAGTGTAGTACTGCACATCCTGTATACCAGGCGAGGTAGTTAACATTTCCCAGCCACCGTGATGATGATGGTGGTGTAACCCACGACCTCCTGTATACCAGGCGAGGTAGTTAACATTTCCCAGCCACCGTGATGATGGTGGTGTAACCCACGACCTCCTGTATACCAGGCGAGGTAGTTAACATTTCCCAGCCACCGTGATGATTATGGTGTAACCCACGACCTCCTGTACACCAGGCGAGGTAGTTAACATCTCAATTACCAAGGCGTCAACACCAACGAAGGCCCAGACGACCACCAAACCTCAGGGTCGTTGAAATAGCAGCAGCAGAACTCATCCGCAAGTTGTGGAGACCTGCAGAGACCCACACAGCGAGTTGGCACAGCAGGGGCCCACAATGTGGTGGTAGCATCAGCCACTGTCTCAGTCAGTTGACACGTAACACCTGCTGGGTCTGCCCCGTGACCTCCTCCTGCCACGTGGTAGCCTCAAAGTGCACATGGCCTGGCACAAGCGTCGTGGTGACGTCACCGCCACTTAGTGGCGAATGGCGGTTGTTGTTGTGTGTGTGAGTGTTAAACTGTGAGTGTGTGTACACGTGTTGTACCGTAGCAAGGCTCTGCAGGTCACCTTAGATGCACCCAAGCTCACGGGCCCACAGGGGGCAGCAGAGTTCCTATGACCACTGTTTCATTGCTTTAATGGCTTTATTTTGGTGATTTTTGAAAAGTTTTTCGGTTTGGCCATGTTTGTTTGTTGTAGTACAGAGTTAGACTGATGGCCTTAATCTAAGTTGTCTTGTGGTTGTTGTTGTTGTTGTTTGACTTGCATCCCACTGGGATTTTTGCACACAGCATTGGTGTATGGTGCTTTTTCTGCAATATTTTGCTGTCTTTTCTTGGATTTTCTGTTTGCACTTAGTCACATAGTCACTTTAAGATGTTTTCTTGTTCATGTTTTTGTTTTTTTGTTTGTTGCGGTTGCACCCGATTCAAGAGCCGAATGGCTCACAGGGCTATACCTAATACATGAAAACTTGAAACTTGAGGCGTGTGGGGGTTGACCGAAGGTGACCACCCCCCCGCCTCTTACACTGGTCAACGTGTGTCCACACTAGGACCTTCAAGTTCATGTTCATGTATTAGGTGTGGCCCTGTGAGCCATTTGGCTCTTGAATCGGGTGCAACCTCAACAAACAAAAAACAAAAACATGAACAAAAACATCTTAAAGTGAATATGTGACTGAGTGCAAACAGAAAATCCAAGAAAAGACAGCAAAATATTGCAGAAAAAGCACCGTTACACCAACGCTGTGTGCAAAAATCCCAGTGGGATGCAATTCAAACAACAACAACAACAACCACAAGACAACTTAGATTAAGGCCATCAGTCTAACTCTGTACTACAACAAACAAACATGGCCAAACCAAAAAACTTTTCGAAAATCACCAAAATCAAGCCATAAAAGCAATGAAACAGTGATCATAGGAACTGTGACCGAATTTTCACAATAAACGACGTAAACAACATGTACCACCAGAACCCTGCAGCCATAGCTGGCTGCATGAGTCACTCCACAACAGCAGGAGCATCAGTCGGAGTATCAACATTTTTCAATGCACCTTTAAGATCAGCGCACTAAATCAAAACACAGATCATACTTCATGTAAGCTGACGTGCGCAGCGATCGCTGTCGTGGTGGAGTTGATCGTATTTTACTGGGATAATCCCTTTTGACTCCACACCAAGCTGTCTTTTTGTGCCATGTATAAGGTGCTACATTCGTGAACGAATGCAATGAAAATCAGGTTGATTCACGAGAACAGCATGTTCTTTTTCTGCCATAACAGAGAAAGAATGTATATATAACGTGACATTTTGGCAGACTGGCCCAACTTTATTTATGCCCATAGGATAATGAAAGATAATGCATAAGAATAGGGTAAATCTATTCTTATATTTTCACACACACTCACACAGACCCACAGACTCACAGAGACCCACAGACTCACAGAGACCCAGGTCACGTGACTGACCCCTTCGCCCCGCCCCCTTTCATCTTCTCTCCCCCGAGCCCCGCCCCCTGGCCACGCCTCCTGCGTCACGTGTCCACGGGCCCTGACATCCGGGGCCCTGACATCCGGGGCCCTGACATCCACATCCGGGCCTCGCCTGAGCCAACACGTGCGCAGCCTGGGCCCTTCTTCCCGCCACTTCTCCGTCGACTGCCTGCAGAGGGGTCAAAGGGTAAAGGTGTCTGTGTGCCGAGGGGTGAGGTCAAAGGTCGGGTAAAGGTCAGCTTGTTTTGACCTTGCCTTGCCTACTGGCCATGTGCTAATCCTAAGAGACGCTGCTCAACAATGACAGGATTCTGTGAGGTTTGCGTTGCGTTTGTTATCGTGTAGAGGGTGAACGCCACAGGTAGCCAGGGCTCGCCTTGTTCAAACCCCCTTTTAGTCTGTCCCCAACTCTCACGTGAAGAGAATCTGTGCTAGAAACCATGACATTGTTACGTGTAATGCGGCATTTCTTCCTAAATTGCAAGCCGCGTTAATTACACTGGTCAACAACAACAAAAACATGTTTTTCTGGCCTGGACTGTTGCAGCTGTTCTAGGCTAATTTCAGGGTGCCGATTCTAAATCTGATCTCAGATTTGCTCTATCACGTCTATTTTTTATGCTATCGGCATACCCCATTTTCATTGATTTTACCCGAAATTAACTCTGTCACTTATGATTGCAAGTTGTTGCGAGTCAGTGACTGCTTTAGTGTTAAAATACGGTGCTGTATTTTTAGGAGAGTGTGCATATAATATCATTTTATGTAGATATCCACATTTATTTAATATTTTTATTCTGCCGTTTTTATTGAAAATGCAATATTTGATAATATCTCAAAAACCTGATGTGATGGACAAAAACTGATGCCAGATTTGGAATCATCAGCACCCCAAAATGACCTTAACACCGTTGGAATACCTTATGCCACAAAAAGTGTGTTGACCAGTGTTATGTATGCAATGTTAGTGTGCTGATGTCAACGTAGCCTTTGACCAGATCACTCACAATGCACGCAGCCTTTTCCGATTTTGTAAGCTAAGCAGGGTTTGTGTCAGAAGTGCTTTGGATGGGTTGACCACCACCACCACGTGCAGTATAAAGGTGCTGTGGGCGTTGTAGACAGCAGTTGGCAGTGCAGAAACCCCTATTGGTGTACTGCACTCCCCACCACCACCTCCACCACAAACCCCACTGACCAGCGTGGTGAAGTATAGTCAAATATCGCTCTTGACCCGACCCACAAGACGTGTGCGGAGGTCATCATCCAGCAGTGGAATTATTCAAGCGGACTGTACATGTATGATGCGAGAGTTCCTATACATGTACACGCGTGTGCGTACACATGTATCGGCAGTGTGACAAGATGACATCACCTCTTTTCACGACCCTGAGTCACATTCCCCTGGGGGTCATTAAATAGGGCAATCAGTCACGGACGCCAGTGCAGATAATAAGATGGTGCCATTGTCTATGATCATGACGCTCAGAGGAGGAACGCTATCGAGATGTAATTGTATAACAACAGCTCTTTAGTAGTAGGTTTTTACCCTTTAAAACTGGTACAAAAACTTGACACCTTTATACAAGGCATCATGTTTGCAATAACCACAACACAAGCAGTCAAAATGCAAACAAAAAGAAACAACTCTGATGATGATAATGATATGCACTGTCCTTGATGTTGATTGGTCCACACCCCAGACAGCTTTTCTTAGAGCCTAGTCTCGATTGGTGTTGGTTTCCTTTAAATAATCTTTGCTTTGCAGGTGTGCTTGGACGTGGGAAACACAACGCGAGAACGAGATGGACGTCAGCTGCCACCACAACGAGACGATCGCATTCTTCTACCGCAACAGCAACAAGCCGCTCTACGACGAGTGGTCCTTCACCAGCACGCTGGTCATGGTGCTCGGCCTGACCTTGTGCCTCGGCATCATTCTGGCCAACGCCCTCGTCATGTTCGCCGTGTACATCAACAAGACACTCCACCACCCCGTCTAGAATAGGGTAAATCTATTCTTATATTTTCACACACACTCACACAGACCCACAGACTCACAGAGACCCACAGACTCACAGAGACCCAGGTCACGTGACTGACCCCTTCGCCCCGCCCCCTTTCATCTTCTCTCCCCCGAGCCCCGCCCCCTGGCCACGCCTCCTGCGTCACGTGTCCACGGGCCCTGACATCCGGGGCCCTGACATCCGGGGCCCTGACATCCACATCCGGGCCTCGCCTGAGCCAACACGTGCGCAGCCTGGGCCCTTCTTCCCGCCACTTCTCCGTCGACTGCCTGCAGAGGGGTCAAAGGGTAAAGGTGTCTGTGTGCCGAGGGGTGAGGTCAAAGGTCGGGTAAAGGTCAGCTTGTTTTGACCTTGCCTTGCCTACTGGCCATGTGCTAATCCTAAGAGACGCTGCTCAACAATGACAGGATTCTGTGAGGTTTGCGTTGCGTTTGTTATCGTGTAGAGGGTGAACGCCACAGGTAGCCAGGGCTCGCCTTGTTCAAACCCCCTTTTAGTCTGTCCCCAACTCTCACGTGAAGAGAATCTGTGCTAGAAACCATGACATTGTTACGTGTAATGCGGCATTTCTTCCTAAATTGCAAGCCGCGTTAATTACACTGGTCAACAACAACAAAAACATGTTTTTCTGGCCTGGACTGTTGCAGCTGTTCTAGGCTAATTTCAGGGTGCCGATTCTAAATCTGATCTCAGATTTGCTCTATCACGTCTATTTTTTATGCTATCGGCATACCCCATTTTCATTGATTTTACCCGAAATTAACTCTGTCACTTATGATTGCAAGTTGTTGCGAGTCAGTGACTGCTTTAGTGTTAAAATACGGTGCTGTATTTTTAGGAGAGTGTGCATATAATATCATTTTATGTAGATATCCACATTTATTTAATATTTTTATTCTGCCGTTTTTATTGAAAATGCAATATTTGATAATATCTCAAAAACCTGATGTGATGGACAAAAACTGATGCCAGATTTGGAATCATCAGCACCCCAAAATGACCTTAACACCGTTGGAATACCTTATGCCACAAAAAGTGTGTTGACCAGTGTTATGTATGCAATGTTAGTGTGCTGATGTCAACGTAGCCTTTGACCAGATCACTCACAATGCACGCAGCCTTTTCCGATTTTGTAAGCTAAGCAGGGTTTGTGTCAGAAGTGCTTTGGATGGGTTGACCACCACCACCACGTGCAGTATAAAGGTGCTGTGGGCGTTGTAGACAGCAGTTGGCAGTGCAGAAACCCCTATTGGTGTACTGCACTCCCCACCACCACCTCCACCACAAACCCCACTGACCAGCGTGGTGAAGTATAGTCAAATATCGCTCTTGACCCGACCCACAAGACGTGTGCGGAGGTCATCATCCAGCAGTGGAATTATTCAAGCGGACTGTACATGTATGATGCGAGAGTTCCTATACATGTACACGCGTGTGCGTACACATGTATCGGCAGTGTGACAAGATGACATCACCTCTTTTCACGACCCTGAGTCACATTCCCCTGGGGGTCATTAAATAGGGCAATCAGTCACGGACGCCAGTGCAGATAATAAGATGGTGCCATTGTCTATGATCATGACGCTCAGAGGAGGAACGCTATCGAGATGTAATTGTATAACAACAGCTCTTTAGTAGTAGGTTTTTACCCTTTAAACTGGTACAAAAACTTGACACCTTTATACAAGGCATCATGTTTGCAATAACCACAACACAAGCAGTCAAAATGCAAACAAAAAGAAACAACTCTGATGATGATAATGATATGCACTGTCCTTGATGTTGATTGGTCCACACCCCAGACAGCTTTTCTTAGAGCCTAGTCTCGATTGGTGTTGGTTTCCTTTAAATAATCTTTGCTTTGCAGGTGTGCTTGGACGTGGGAAACACAACGCGAGAACGAGATGGACGTCAGCTGCCACCACAACGAGACGATCGCATTCTTCTACCGCAACAGCAACAAGCCGCTCTACGACGAGTGGTCCTTCACCAGCACGCTGGTCATGGTGCTCGGCCTGACCTTGTGCCTCGGCATCATTCTGGCCAACGCCCTCGTCATGTTCGCCGTGTACATCAACAAGACACTCCACCACCCCGTCTACTTTCTCATGGCCAACCTGGCCGCGGCGGATTTCTTTGCCGGAGTGGCGTACATCTACCTGGTTGTCAACACGGGGCCCAACACTCGCAAGCTGTCGCTGGAGACCTGGATGCTGCGCCAGGGGCTGATCAACACGAGCCTCACCGCCTCCGTCGCCAGCCTCCTGGTCATCGCCATCGAGCGCCACGTCGCGCTGTTCCGGATGCAGCGGATGAGCGAGCGGCGCGTCGTGACGGTCGTCGCGATCATCTGGCTCGTGGCCATCATCGCCGGCGCCATGCCCACCATGGGCTGGAACTGCGTCTGCGACGTCGGCACGTGCTCCACCATGGCGCCGCTGTACAGCGCCAGCTACGTCGCCTTCTGGGCCGGCTACAACCTCTCCATGTTCCTCATCATGGCGGGGCTCTACGGCCACATCTTCGTGAACATGTGGAGGGACAGGATACCCGTGCTGCAGAATAGCTCCAGGTGCTCCCGGAGGCAAGACGCCCCCGTGAGCTTGCTCGTAACGGTCACCATCATGTTGGGTAAGCGTTGTGGGTCTGTCTGGGCAGAACATTCGACAACACGATTCACGATAATTGTTTTTTTACCCTTCTATCTGGCAACAAAACTGACACCTTTTTACAAGGAGTCACGTTTGCATAGACCACAATACCTGCAGTCATAATGCAAACAAAAAACATAACTCTGATAATGTACGCACTGTCCTTGAAGTTGATTGGTCCACACCCGAGACACCTTTCCTTAGAGCCTAGTCTCACATGGTGTTGGACCAGATGACGCCAAAAGGCGCACAACTGTTTTTTTGTTTGCATTACGACTGCAGGTATTGTGGTCTATGCAAACATGACTCCTCGTAAAAAAAGGTGTCAGTTTTGTTGCCAGATAAAAGGGTAAAAAAAAAGCAATTATCAAGGCTGGTCTTGTTCCACGCGTCGCTGCCAAAAATGGCTCGTGCCGTCTCTCCCAGGAGCCTTTATTGTGTGCTGGACGCCGGGCCTGGTGATTCTGCTGCTGGATTCCTTCTGCTCGGACTGCAACGTCCTGGCCTTCGAGAAGTACTTCTTGCTCATAGCGGAGCTCAACTCCGCCATGAACCCCATCATCTACTCGTTTCGGGACACGGAGATGATCGCCACTTTCAAGCGCATCCTGAGCTGCCGAAAGGCGGGATGCGTCGCAGCGAGCGGCTCCGAAAAATCAATTTCCACGTCGAATCCCAACCTGGTTACGGAGATCGGTCACGTGACCACCGCGAGTGCGATGAAGATGAATCAGATTGTCATCTAATATCTAATTGGGCTAACCATGCATGTTTTGATAATTGTTCTTTTACCCTTCTATCTGGCAACAAAACTGACACCTTTTTTTTACAAGGAGTCATGTTTGCATAGACCACAATACCTGCAGTCATAATACAAACAAAAGAGTACACGAGCTTGGAGCATGTATATAAGCTGGGTGCCTTGACAAAGGAATTTGCATATCAAGAGGAATTTAGCATATTTATGGGAAATGCAGGAATGTGATTAGTACTACTTATGCCTGTGCATTATGCAGGATTAGCAGCATCAAAGGGAGAGAATATGGGAAATGCAGGTATGTGATTAGTACTACTTATGCCTGTGCATTATGCAGGATTAGCAGCATCAAAGGGAGAGGATATGGGAAATGCAGGTATGTGAATAGTACTAATTCAGCATCAAAGGGACAGACCTGGTTTTCACCTGAGGACGGCTGCTTGCGTTGTGGCCGAAACGTCGTGAGAATTATTTGATTATGTTTTATTTTTATTATTTTATTATTTCCCTTCTACGTGATTTTACCGAAAGAACCAAGAAGATGAATCCCTGCAGTCACGAAAGCTTTAAATCGAAAAATAAAACAAACAAAAACATAACTCTGATAATGTATGCACTGTCCTTGAAGTAGATTGGTCCACATCTGAGACAGCTTTCCTTAGAGCCTAGTCTCACATGGGTGTGGACCAATCAACTTCAAGGACTGCACACATTATCAGAGTTGTGTTTTTTGTTTGCATTATGACTGCAGGTATTGCGGTCTATGCAAACATGACTCCTTGTAAAAAAGGTGTCAGTTTTGTTGCCAGATAGAAGGGTAAAAAACCAATTATATTTTTTACTGGCAAATGAGGTTCCAGTGGTGATGCATGTTTTACTCGGAAGCTTGTTGTTTCAAAGATATGTTTTACACAAGTCACATTTAACTTGGTGTTTCTTGAATAGGGTTTTACTGGAGGATGCGTTGTTTTTCGTTGGTTCTCTTCCTGTTCAAATGACGGCTGCCCCCCAGCACACACGAACTCGTGTTCACGTGGCCCCCCTTGCGAGCGTCCGTGTTAACGTGGCTGTGTGTGTGTGTGTCCTTCAGGGACATTGTAAACAAAAATCTCGTATTTTGAAAAGCGTCGCTCAATATTTCTGTATTTATTTTTCTTTTTTATTTATTTTGGGGGCCTTTAAACGCTTGTTCAGAATTTTGTTCCGAGCCCATTTTGCGTTGCGTTTTCTTTTGAGCAAGGCAATCGTCTTGTGTGAGAATACTGCCTCCGTTGTGAGAGAAGTCGGTTGTTTTGTGGTGATTATTGTGTAATTATTGCGGCAGTTGCTTTTAGAAAACCGGTGGTTTATTTTGTCTACAAACAAGATGCTGGACCAGCAGGCAGGGTTGATTGGAAATGACCGCTCGTTTTTCCATCTTTGTTCTCACTTCACATTGGCAGCAATCACAAAGGCTCCGTGAACGTTGTTAAGCTACGAGCATTGTGTAACCTTCACGTGGTTCTCGTGACGAAATGGCAAAATGTAACTTTCTTGCACTGTACAAATGTTGGGAGATGTGGGTTTCGTCGTAAAGAGAGTTACAGCACCGTTATTTTGCCGTTAACATTCACTTTTAATCTTTAACGACGGCCACATTTCCACAGTGCAGTGATCGTACTGAGATGTGGGCGCGGTCCCGCCAGTCATCGATGTATCCACACAGCGCAGATTCTACTGGCTGCCAGGAAGGCCACAATGACATTACAATGTGATACTGGTAGGAACCACCTGGTTCCACCAGCCCACAGGGGATTATTGTGTCTGTCCGTCCGTCGTGCATCCAAAAATGGGAGGGGTGGGGCTGGGTTGAGAGGGGAGGGTGGGGAGGGGCTAGGTGGGGTGGGGCTGGTGGGAGGGGTGGGGCTGGGGTGGGGAGGGGCTGGGTGGTTAGGGGCTGGATGGGGGGGTGGGAGGGGTGGGGCTGGGTGGAGAGGGGAGGGTGGGTAGGGGCTGGGTGGGGAGGGGCTGGGTGGGTAGGGGCTTGATGGGGGGGTGGGTGGAGAGGGGTGGGAGGGGTGGGGAGGGGCTGGTCACCCCGTGGTGCCCTTATAAAACTCAACGTTTAACCTACTCACGCCGGCTTGTGCCCGCCCTCACAGTCGGGCATATTTGCGGAATACACCACGCCGCCGTTGACCCTGCAGGCCATTGAGCGAGCAACCCAACGTTCCTACCAGCTCCCTCCGCAGCAGGAATGTGTTTGAGAGCAAGTCATAGTAATCGCCCACATCGAATTGTTCATGCTGTTGAGAGCTGGGCTGCTGTGCGCTTTGGTATCGCAAGTTATAAGATTACAAGACCCCGCGATGAAAACTTTGCGGTTGGGAAATGGCAAAGGAGAGAACGGCACTCCCCACCATTACCTTGAGGGAAGTTTTAGCTGTGTTGAAATCTCGGCAAAAAAAATGTTTTAACATTATCATCAGTCTGGTTCCCAGATAATTGAGTTGGTGTTTCTGTGCGGTATGAGCGCCAACTGTTTAAAGGACTGAGTTGCAAAAAAAGTCTTCATGAATTAGTTTTTGGCAGAGCGACGTTTCTCTCTGCGATGAGATATTAAACCTGGTTACAATGTGTATGTGTGTGTCTTCAAGAATTAGTTTTGGCAGAGCGACGTTTCTCTCTGCAATGAGATCTCATTAAACCTGGGTACAATGTGTGTGTGTGTGTGTCTTCAAGAATTCGTTTTTGGCAGAGCGGCGTTTCTCTCTGCGATAAGATATCATTAAACCTGGGTACAATGTGTGTGTGTGTCTTCAAGAATTAGTTTTTGGCAGAGCGGCGTTTCTCTCTGCGATGAGATATTATTAAACCTGGGTACAATGTGTGTGTGTGTGTCTTCAAGAATTAGTTTTTGGCAGAGCGACGTTTCTCTCTGCAATGGGATATCATTAAACCTGGTTACAATGTGTGTGTGTGTCTTCAAGAATTAGTTTTTGGCAGAGCGACGTTTCTCTCTGCGATGAAATATCATTAAACCTGGGTACAATGTGTGTGTGTGTCTTCAAGAATTCGTTTTTGGCAGAGCGGCGTTTCTCTCTGCGATGAGATCTCATTAAACCTGGGTACAATGTGTGTGTGTGTGTCTTCAAGAATGAGTTTTTGGGAGAGCGGCGTTTCTCTCTGCCATGAGATATCATTAAACCTGGGTACAATGTGTTTGTGTGTGTCTTCCAGAATTAGTTTTTGCAGAGCGACGTTTCTCTCTGCGATGAGATCTCATTAAACCTGGGTACAATGTGTGTGTGTGTGTGCACGCTTGTGGAGGTAATGCATACTAGAATAATAAAAAAACTAGTGGCATTCATGGATAAAGTTGGTGGCAAAAGCTTCCTACTGCTACCACGTGTTCAAGTGTTTATACATTTCGTATATTTTGATGGTAAAGTTTATTTGACGTCTGTTGCGGTTGTGCAGATGCCGAACATTAAAACATTAATAACGGATATGAATTACCGAGTCTGTGGTTTTTTCGAATGTGAGCACCTGCTGTCCAGTGTCCCGTGAATTGCACGCATGGTCATGAACCTTGTCAGTGTAGAGATGTGTAGATAATTACCAAAATGTTGACCGATGAAGTGTTACTATAGAAATCTTGGTGAACCACAACTAAGAGTGGATGATGAAAGTTCAGTAAAACCTTGGATTGCGAGTCACTTGGTCTGCGAGTGTTTTGCAAGACGAGCAATTTTTTTAAAACAAATATTAATTTGATAAACGAGTGAGGTCTTGCTATACGAGTAGTACGTTCTGTCTGCCGAGCGTCACGTGATCACAACTGATATACGAGTGCTTTGATATACGAGTGCTTTGGATTACAAACACGTTTCCGGAACGAATTATGCTCGCAATCCAAGGTTTTACTGTAACTCAATATGATTGACCGTGACGAAACCCACCAATGATCAAATGATGTCCACTTCGATGAGATTGTCTGATTAAAGGTAATACGATCATTGAGTAAGTTGCAATGCAGATAAATAAACATGATCAATGGTACTATTGTGGAGCTAGATTTGAAGCTTTCGTGACTGCAATGATTCATATTCTTAGGTTATTTCGGTAAAGTCACCGTGTAGGTAAAAACATTAAAAAATAAAATAAAAATCACGACGTTTCGGAGGCAACACAAGCTTCCGTCTTCAGGTGGTACCGTCACAGCCACGACAGCTGTATCAAGTACATGAGAGATTGCAGGAGCTACCACCATTATATAAACGGAGTGGTAGCTCCTGCAATCTCTCATTTACTTGATACAGCTGTCGTGGCTGTGACGGTTCCACCTGAAGACGGAAGCTTGTGTTGCCTCCGAAACGTCGTGATTTTTATTTTATTTTACTTTTTAATGTTTTTACCTACACAGTGACTTTACCGAAAAAACCTAAGAATATTGTGGAGCTATTTAAATATATATTTACTCTGCTTGACTGCCCTGATAATATTTGTGGGGGGAGGGGGGCTGGGGAGTTGCATTGCCCAACTTTTAAGTAGCCCAGTGCCAAAGAGTGTAGTGCTCGAATCGCCTCCACCCAGAGAATGACTCCAGAGAGAATCCAGGAAGAATAAGTATAACCCGTAAAAACAAAGTTTTTCACTATAAATCCTTTATATACGTGGCGGCTAGAGTCCTCTCGTCCTCTGGCTTGAGATGGCTGCCACCTATGGGTCAGATGATTGTCTGCCAGTATTAAGCAATTGGTAATTAAATATTTAATTTGTTTTCCCTAAACAGTGTAAAATTTTGGAAAAAAATGTTCACGAACATTAATTGTCTCGCACAACGAGTCTGTGTGCAAAATGTCAGCTCGATTGGATCACGGGAAATGGGTTAAAAAACGACCGAAAGATTTGCACGGTCGTAAGCACGCAAGCAAGCGAACTTAATATAAAGGATTTAAAAAGGAGCGGGGAAGTTGCCGAGGCACTTCTGAATCGGTCCTGGTTGTCCTCTTGCATCAACCCACACTGACCAGTCTGGTGAAGTATGGTGAAACAACCCCTATGATGACCAA